GTGAAAACAGAAAAAGGAAGTGTATCCCGAAAGTTTCAGATTAGTGAATTGGAAGAGCTGAGAAATGAGGNTATGGAATGCAATTGTTCATCACATTTGCATATGCACGGGTAGCATCGCATTTTGAGTGCGGGTGTGTGTGCATGGTTTTCATCAAACACCATCCTTGATGGATTGATACGTGAGCTCGGAAAAGTTGGACCTAGGTTCGACTGAGTCGCACAAGTTGCATTGAAAACATGGGTTGAGGTTAGCAAGAAAGACTAGATTCTTCTTAGGGTGCAAGACCTGGTAATTTCGAATATGCACTTCCATTGGTATTGAGTCCATAAAGTGTGTCAGTGTACACAGAGCCGTTGGTGGAATTCTATAGATGCCATGCTGGTTAGGTACCTGTTGGTGGAAGTCCATAAATACCCACTCTAAGAAAGATCCAAAATTTTTATAAAATGTCATTGGATGTGTACCATCAATCAAGGGGGCTTAGAATGTCCGAATGCATACGCATGACATGACATGTGTTATGGGAGCCGGTGGATGGCTCGGGTTGCATTGCATATGTGAGTTTCATCTCATGACATGATATGACATTGTGGTATTCATTTATGAATTGTATATTCTTGAATGAATGATTGATTGATGAATTGCATGTGAACATTTCATATGCATATGAGTTGGGGAGTAGCCTCATTAGGAGATACCTTATTGAGCGTGACTCACCCTTTATGGGAACATATTTTAGATGCTAGATAAGCGTTGGTTGACAACCTTGACTTGGGCCCTTGTTGATGAGGAAGCTGAAATGTGGTGTTTGAATTATATTTTGTAAATCAAATTATGTAACTTGTTTTGAACTTGTAAATTGTAATAAGGGGACATGTAATTGACTCTTATGGACAACGATTTTGATGTAAATTAAAGTTGTATGAGTTTGGATGAACATGGAATGAGATTGAAAGGCTAAAGGTTGAGAATTGGAAGGATTTGGGGAAAATCTGGGCTCAAGTACCGGTACCATGTAGTCGGATGACCCAGGTACCTATACGTATACCTATAGGCACCAGTACCTGGATTCTAGTGGGCTCAGGTACTAGTACCAAGACACATTGGTACTAGAATCTAGAAAATAGTGGCCTCAGGTACCGATACCAATTTATATAGGTACTACTACCTCTTCCCCAAATTTAAAAATTTTAAAATAAACATTGAGGGTCCTTCACATTTGGAGCACTTTTCCTTGGATGATGTAAATGAACACGAATAAGCCTAATTATTGGGGTTTAGACCTTGGAATGGTCTTATGATTGCTGTATGCACAGGTTACGGATTGGGTAGGGTTCCCATACAAAAGAAACTCTGCCCAAAGTTTGTTTTGGTTATGATCCTGGTGAATGAAGTGTAACGACTTGGTATCGGGTTATGCGATACTCATATGTATACTTTTGTGAGCTAATAGGTGATCAACGGTTTGAGAAAGGACCCACGGATTTTGGAGCGTCACAAATCTCTTTTCAAATCACTAAGCTCATATCACAATCTACTGTTTTATAATCTTTTTCTAGGTTTCATTCACTTTTTTATCTGTTCAAGTTTCCAACAGATAATTGCCTATGGAATTGACGTCAGACTTCACCAAGAATATTATAACTTGACTGCTTATACTTGGGTGTGTACAATAAGATCAAGTCAAGTTTTTGACAATGTTTCTAGAAAGTTACTGTAGTTTGTGAAAACAGAAAAAGGAAGTGTATCCCGAAAGTTTCAGATTAGTGAATTGGAAGAGCTGAGAAATGAGACATATGAAAATGTCAAAATTGAAAAGGCCAGAATAAAAATTTTTCACAATAAAAATATTATGCAAAAATCTTTTGTACCATCCTAGAAAATCCTATTATACAATTCGAGGCTCAACCAGTTTCCTGGAAAATTGAGGATTAGGTGGACGGGGTCGTACATTGTTAAACAAATATTTAGACATGGGGCTGTTAAGATTGAAAATCTGTCAAATGGTAACATTTTTAAAGTTTGGCCAGAGACTCAAACCATTTTATGATGAATTTGTTAGGAATGTGGATTCTATCAACTTAATGGAACCACAATATTCTCCTTAAATACATCTCTTTTGTAAAATATTTGTAAATAGTGTTAATTTTTGCAGATGAAGTTACATTGTGAATAATGTTCCTTACCATCATCTATTTATACATTTATTCCTCTTAATCTTTTACTTACATATTTTTCACATTGAGGACAATATTAAGTTTAGGTTGGGGTTAAATTCTTGGTATGATANAAAATATATTAGATAGATCCTTGATCTATTCGAGTTATATTATTGTTAGAGGACAGACATTGAGAGAGTGTGTCAGTAAAATTATGCCTGCATGTAGATGATTATATTCTAACCTCCTATTTTCAAAAGAGTTGGGTGATCAATTATATTAAACCAGGTGCTTTGTACTTTTTTACTTTTTTCTCTCCATTCGTGTACTGAATTACTTTTTGTTGGTTACTTGGGTGACAATTTTTGGCATAATACGAAAATAAGCTAAGGAAACGATAAGAAGTTAGTGGNTTGAGTATGGAGAATATTGAGCTAGAGTGGTTATTGCGTACCTTGGTTGATCTTTGTTCTTCCCCTTTTATAATCCAATTAATTATGCAGTTGGGAGTTCTTTATCTTATTATTCAAATGGAGGTAGTTATGCTAGAGGCAATGGAAATGATCTACTTTTCTGAGTGAGGGCTTTAGCTGAGTTGAACTAGTCACAGTTGTGAGGGGATCAGACTCTAATGAATTGTAGGACAGCTGAGGTAGAGCTCTTCCGAGCTACAGAGCTCCTTAGTCAAAGCACGTGCATCGAACAATTAACATGCATGTGTATTGCATATGATTATAATACGTATAAAAAATTCTTATAGGTAATTTTGGAAAAAAAATATTTTTCGTTAACAAGTTAATTTATAATATCTATCAGGTGATTTGAGTTGGAATGAAATTCATTACAAAGATATTTTTTATTCAATTCCCTTATTGAGAGATCACATATCATTCATCTAAGTGGGTCTCTTACTCATTTACTAATTAATGATAAATAATTTGTCAAGAAAAAATTTAAAGGAAAAATCCTTGATCTATTCGAGTTATATTATTGTTAGAGGACAGACATTGAGAGAGTGTGTCAGTAAAATTATGCCTGCATGTAGATGATTATATTCTAACCTCCTATTTTCAAAAGAGTTGGGTGATCAATTATATTAAACCAGGTGCTTTGTACTTTTTTACTTTTTTCTCTCCATTCATGTACTGAATTACTTTTTTTGTTGGTTACTTGAGCGACAATTTTTGGCATAATACGAAAATAAGCTAAGGAAACGATAAGAAGTTAGTGAATTATGATTGATCATTTCTCAACATGAAACCGTATATAACACGATCCGTTAACACGAATAATAAATAAATTGAATTAATGTCAAACACGAATAATAAGAAATTGACATAATTAACAAGTTTAAGTAGCATTACAAGAATAAAATACTAAATTTTTATTATATTTTATCAAATAGTGATTTAATTCTTATACAAAAAAATATTTTATTTATTTTTATTATTATATTTATTAAATTAATTTTAATTTTAATTTATAGAAAAAATATGAACATATATTCGATTAAGTGATAGTAAAATTTTAAACATAAAAACTGAGCGTTGAATTTTATATTCACGGTTTATACGAGTCAACACGAACACGACACAAAAATAAATAAGTCGATAAAACACAATACAATTAATTAAATAAATTGAATTAAAATTTACTAATATTTAATACGAAATTGAAATAACACCACCCAAATATGATCTAATAAGGCACAATTGCCACCCCGATTTGTTATAACCCAAGGTGGAAAAAAACCTTTGGAAAAACCATAAAAGTCGGATTAGCCGGCCANATCCTTGATCTATTCGAGTTATATTATTGTTAGAGGACAGACATTGAGAGAGTGTGTCAGTAAAATTATGCCTGCATGTAGATGATTATATTCTAACCTCCTATTTTCAAAAGAGTTGGGTGATCAATTATATTAAACCAGGTGCTTTGTACTTTTTTACTTTTTTCTCTCCATTCATGTACTGAATTACTTTTTTTGTTGGTTACTTGAGCGACAATTTTTGGCATAATACGAAAATAAGCTAAGGAAACGATAAGAAGTTAGTGAATTATGATTGATCATTTCTCAACATGAAACCGTATATAACACGATCCGTTAACACGAATAATAAATAAATTGAATTAATGTCAAACACGAATAATCAAAAATTGACACAATTAACAAGTTTAAGTAGCATTACAAGAATAAAATACTAAATTTTTATTATATTTTATCAAATAGTGATTTAATTCGTATACAAAAAAATATTTTATTTATTTTTATTATTATATTTATTAAATTAATTTTAATTTTAATTTATAGAAAAAATATGAGCATATATTCGATTAAGTGATAGTAAAATTTTAAACATAAAAACTGAGCGTTAAATTTTATATTCACGGTTTATACGAGTCAACACGAACACGACACAAAAATAAATAAATCGATAAAACACAATACAATTAATTAAATAAATTGAATTAAAATTTACTAATATTTAATACGAAATTGAAATAACACCACCCAAATATGATCTAATAAGGCACAATTGCCACCCCGATTTGTTATAACCCAAGGTGGAAAAAAACCTTTGGAAAAACCATAAAAGTCGGATTAGCCGGCCAATATAGACTTGTACAAAACATTGTCTAGTCCACTCCAATCTAAGTCATGTTCAGAATCTAGATGTATCATGCCTCACCCGCCCGCACCAGATCATCAAATTAGCACTCTGATCTAACAACCGGTCGTAACTGTTCTTCTTAGAGTGCCGAAAACATGCACAAAACCCACTGATTTTCTCTCGGACCAGTCTACATTCTCTCTCTTACTTACAGAGAGAGAGAGAGAGAGAGAGAGAGAGAGTGAGAGGGGAGACCCAATTTTGGGTTTTGTCTCACCATGCCATTGAAATCCATCAGTTCCTTCGTCATCTCACTAATGTTAGGTTTTGCACTTCTCATCCTGTTCTTCTCTGGCTTCTTTGAATACCCATCTGTCTCTTCTTCAATCCCATCAGCCAAGGATTCAATCTTGACCTCTAAATCCACAACAGACCCATTCAAAGACTTGTTGGGTGCTTTCAAGAAATGGGACTCTCAAGTGGGTTGTTCTCAATTTAGAGAGAAATATAAAGGGTCGTTGAGAAGGGGATCGAACTTATCCTATTCTTCTTCTTCTTTGCAAGATGCTCATGGTGAATTGGACTGTAACGAGTTGAAGATGAATCATGTGAGTGTTTTGGTTAAAGGGTGGACTTGGATTCCTGACAATTTGGATAATTTGTATTCTTGTCGATGTGGATTGAGCTGTTTGTGGACTAAATCTTCAGTTCTTGCTGATAAACCCGATGCTTTGGTGTTTGAGACGACAACACCACCACTTCAGGTAAAATTGTGAGCTCAATTATCGATCTAGAGATAAATTTTGTTTGAACTACGTACAGTGCTAGAAATATAATCCAAAATATGTCTAATGTATGTATTTTTATGTGCTTATATTTTATATACATGTCCCCTTGGTAATGGTAGATTTTAGGGCTGGTTTGGGTGTGCTAAGAAACAAAAATATGTTAAGTGATGGGGGAACTTAGCTTTTGAATTTAAAGCTTTGCTTGGAATACTCTCCTTATTTGTGATATGGATTTGTTTGAATTGCATTTTTTTTTGGGGGGGGGGGGGGGGGGGGG